GGTACTGGGGATCAACTCTGGCCCTTGTGCTTGCAAGGCAGGTGGCGAAACCACTGAGCTAAATCCCCAGCCCTAGACCCTGTTTGAAAAAAAAACAAAATGCACAAAAAAATTTAAAAAGCCACTGTCAAGCCAGACACATGTCAGTGGCACATGCCTGTGATCCCAGCACTTGGGAGGCTGAGCAGGATTGCTCTGAATTCAAGAACAGCCTGGACTACATAGTTCCAGATCAGTCTTAACTACATAGTGAGACCCTGTCTCAAAAAACCAAAAAGCCATTGTCACAGGCCAGGGATTTAGCTCAGTGGTGCCATGCCTGCCTTGCAAGCGCAAGGTCCTGAGTTCAATCCCCAGTACCAAAAAAAATTTTTTTAATAAACCAAAACAGAGAAAGAAAAAAGTGCAAACATATAGGTGACTATTTTAATATCTGTGGACATAGCTTTATGAGGTTATATGAGTTCGTCATTTATTTATAAAGAAAACAAATTATAATTGTGCTTTTGGGCTTCATGGTGTACACCTGTTAATCTCAACATTCTGAGAGGCTGAGGCAGGATTCCAAGTTCAAACCCAGCTCAGACAACATACCACATTAGCGAAACCCCGTCTCAAAATAAGACTAAAGTAGGTAGGGAGAGTAGCTCATTGCAAAGGCCCTGGGTTCACTATCTAGTACCATTTTTAAAAAACTTTTTTAGGACCAGGGATGTAGCTCAGTGGTGCTGCATCTTCCTTGCAAGTGCAAGGTCCTAAGTTCATTCCCCAGTACCGAGGAAAAAAAATTTTGTGTCTGAAAAAAAAGTTATAATCGGTATTCTTTATTTTTATTTTACTTTTTTTTTTTTTTTTTTTTTTTTTTTTGGTACCAGGGATCGAAATCAGGTCCTTGCGCTTGCGAGGCAGGCAGCAGAACCACTGAGCCAAATCCCCAACCAGTTACTATTGTTTATATCAGAAGTTCCAGAACGGTAGCTTTATGTAGTGTTCATCAGAGGGTTGTAGTGAAGGCAAAACTACAAGCATCTGGGAGACTGAGGCAAGAGGATCACCTCAAGTTTGAAGCCAGTCTGAACTGCACACTGAGACTGTCTCACAACAAACAAAATCAAAATAGTGAAGCCAAAACTAAACCTGAAAAGGGCCAGGGATTTAACTCAGTGGTTCCACCACCTGCCTCAAACGTGCAAAGTCCTGAGTTTGATCCCCAGTCAGTACCAAAAAAAACCTAAACTAAACCTGAAAAAGCTTCAGCTTGTAGATTTGCCTACTCAAGTACTCTTCCCATGATGTAAGCCTCTTTAAAAGAGGACTTTTTTGTTGTTTTTTTTGTTACCAGCAATCGAACTCAGGTCCTTGCACTTGCAAGGCAGGCAGTGGAGCTGCTGAGCTAAATCCCTGGCCCTAAAGGATTATTTTTAAACACGTTTTGCAAGTTAATAATCTTTTGCCTGTAGTTTGTTTTGGTTTGGTTTTTTGAGACAGGGTCTCACTGTATAGTTGAGACTGACCTGGAACTCACTATGGAGCCCAGGCTGGTCTCGAACTCACAGCAATCCTCCTGCCTCAGCCTCCCAAGTGCTGGAATTACAGGCGTGCGCCACCACACCCAGCTTCTAGTCCCAATTTTTAAGAAAAGATCTGTCTCCCTGTTAAAAGCCTGCAGTTTATTGGGGTTAAAAATTTAGACTGCACAAAATCACCCCAAATCATTCACCTAATTTTTAATTTTAGAATGTAGTATGTTGGCTGGGGATGTAGCTCAGCAGCACAGCACCTGCCTGGCAAATGCGAGGACCTGAGTTTGATTCCTGGTACCAGGAAAAGAAAAAGAATGTAATATGTGCTTCTTCAGGAAGGTCTTATCAGTAACTGTTTTTGAATATTAATAAAAGTCCTATAAAATAGATTCAAAGTCACCAGTGTTTCCTGTCACACACTGTGGAAACTTGTCTGGTAATCCTGATTGAGAAAAATATATATAGGGCTGGAGATTTAGCTTAGTGGGTCCACTGCCTGCCTTGCAAACACAAGGTCCCAAGTTCAATCCCCAGTACCAAAAATAAAAAAGAGAAATATATATAAAAGAACAGTAATTATTTTGTATCACACAATAAAAATTTTGCCAGGCGTGGTGGCGCACACCTGTAATTCCAGCACTCACACCTGTAATTCCAGCACTCAGGAGGCTGAGGCAGGAGGATCCCTGAGACCAGCCTGGGCTACATAGTGAGTTCCAGGTCAGTCTCAACTATATAGTGAGACCCTGTCTCACACACCAAAAAAAGATATGAACAGTCCTGGCCATGACTTAACACTGAAGGCCCTCCCGTGGTTAACTGGTGAGGAGTGCTAAGGCCGAACTGACAGGTACCAGTTCAGTGCTGGTGTCCTTCTTCCTCTCCAGCACTCATGAATGCTCTCTGATCACGAGGGCCAGTGAGGCGACAACTGGGCCTTTGCTCCCTGAATGTCAGCCCAGGCAGGGAGGCTCTGGAGCCCGCTTCGATGTGGATACCAGGGAGTTGTTCTGGCCACAGGTGTCTAGGTTAGGCCAAACAGGGTGTGAGGCAACCAGATACCGCGTCAGAATTACAGAGAGCACTTGGACTAGTTCTGTTTTCATGAGTTTGTCTGATCTAATTTTAGGCTTTCTAGAAAGCAGATCGGTAACAAGTGAAAAGGATTTACAGTTCTCTATCATTTACAAGTGATGAATTTTTTTGACACTTGAGTCATAGTTACTCAGTGAACTATTAAATATTTTGTGTTCAATTCCTGAAAAAAGCACGTTAAAGTTTGCAAAAACTAAACGGGTATATAAGCAGTGAGTGGGGTGCCTTATTACATGGAATGTAACAGACATTTACCTTGAGGAAACAGAGTTGCTGAATGCTTTGGGAGGTTCTTGGCAGCTGTAGTTTGGGCCTCGTGACGCTGCACATATATCGGACTTCAGAGGCTGTGATGACATCCCATACAGTACAGCAAGTCCCTGACTTACAAATATTCAAGTTGCGAACTTTCACCAGTGTAACATATAAGACTCACTTTGTCAGCTTACAGACAAATCCAACTTAGGAACACTTCTCCTGAAATGGAAACTCATTCATAAGTCAGGGACTTACTGTAACGGTTTCATCGAAAAATGTAATAGAAAGCATTTATTTTAGGCCAGGCGTGGACACTCAGGAGGCCAAGGCAGGGGGATCTCAAGTTTAAGGCCAGCCGGTCTAAAAAAAAAAATGTGTGTGTGTAT